AGGTCGAGGCTGCAGTGGCCGGGAGCGGCTACTGCACTCCAGTCTGGGCGACAGAGTGAGATTCCAACTCAAAAAAAAAAAAAAAAAAAAAAAAATTATTGTAGAGATGAGGTCTCGCCAAGTTGCCCGGGTTGGTCTCGAACCCCTGGTCTCAGGCAATCCTCTCAACTCGGCCTCCAAAAGTGCTGGGATTACAGGCTTGAGCCACCACGCCCGGCCAATTTTTTTTTTTTCTTTAATGAAGCTTTTACATTACCCAAACAAGAAAGGATATTACAATCCAAATTGCTCAAAGCTTCCAAAGTTCAAAAACATTTCCAAAGAAATCAAAGCAATGGAAACCACATTCTGTGGCAAAAAGGAGATTCCAGAAGTGCTTCCAGCTCAGAATCAAAACAAAGATCAGGAAAGGAACAGGTGACCATCAAGCGTGTGTCTCCTTCCACATCCACATCCATGGCAGCTGTGTGGATGTGCATGTGTATGGGACAGTGGAACAATTCCAAAGATCCCAGTTAAGGCGTTGTGGGCTGGATTGTGTCCCTCCCAAATTCACACACTGGAGCCCTAACCCTCAGTACCTCAGAACGTGTCTATATTTGGAGACACAGTATTTAAAGAGAAAAATGAGGTACGAGGGTGGGCTTTAATCCCATGGGACTAGTGTCCTTATAGGAGGAGGTGATCAGGACACAGAAACACAAGGAGGGATGACCAGGTGAGGACATAGGGAGATGGCAGACACATGCAAGCCAAGGAGAGAGGCCTCAGAAGAAACCAACCCTGCTGGCATCTTGATCTGGGCTTCCAGCCTCTGGGACTGTCAAAAAGTACATTTCTATGTAGACAAGCCACCCAGATGGTGGTAGGAAACTCACACAGAAGGGAAACAAGAAAATGAGGTAGGAACAAAACATGGAAAGGCCTTCTGCTGGCAAAATGAACACAATGGTAGCCATGTCTTGGTGTGCTGCAGAGAAATTTGGGGTTGCCAAAGGGAAAGAAGATGCCAGAAGCTTGTTCAGAAGAAATTGAAATCACGTACAGAGACTAGCAGATGCCTTTTGGCATCTGTTAGTAGCTAAAAAGCCAGTAGAGATGTCAATTTACTCTCATTGCTCACTTATTAAAAATGTATTTACAGAAAATTGACTTTCTGGCACACAGTTCTATGAATTTTAAGCTACATCTAGATTCATAAATCCTATCATAATCAGAATACGTAGCCCCCTCAATCATGCTGCCCCCAAAGCAAACCTCTCCTCCATTCCTAACCCATGCCCCCAACCAGTCTGTCCCAATAGTCTTGTTGCTTTCCCAGAATGTCATGTAAATGGAGTTACACAGTATGCAGTGTTTTGAGACTGGCTTCTTTCGCAGCATAACGCATTTGAAATTCATTCATGTGGCTGCATGTAAAGTTCGTTCCCCTGTTTTTGCTGAGTAGTATTCCCTTGTGTGGTTGTACTGTGGTCTGTTTATCTATCAGGTGTTGAGGCACATTGGGTGATTTCCAATCTTTGGCGATTATAAGTTGAGCATCTGTCATATTCGTGCACAGGTTTTTATGTAAGCCTAAATTAATTTTTCTCTAGGGTAAATATCTAGGAGTGGGAGGGCTGAGTCGCAAGCATGTTTACCTTTTTAAGAAACTGCCAGACTATTTCTCAGAGGGGCTGACCCATATCGTGCGCCCACTAGCAATGTGTGGGAGTTCCAGTTGCTCTGTGTCCTCAGCAACACTCGATATTGTTGGTTTTAAAACAATTACTGGCCAGGCACAGTGCCTCAAGCCTGTAATCCCAGCACTCTGGGAGGCCGAAGCAAGAGGACTGCCTGAGCTCAGGGGTTCGATACCAGCCCGGACAACTTGGCGAGACCTCATCTCTGCAATAAATGAAAAAATTAGCTGGGAGGGTAGCACACACCTGTAGTTTTGGCTTGGAAGACTGAGGTAGAAGAATTGCCTGAGCCCAGCGGGTTGAGGTTGTGGTGGCCATGAGCGTGCCACTGCACTCCAGCCTGGGCGAACCCCCCCCCCCAAAAAAAATTACTATAGCCATCCAACAGGTGTGTTATGATAAATCATTGTGGTCTTACTCTGTGTTTCCCTCATGACCAATGATGTCGAACGGTTTCTTATGTGCTTACTTGCCATTTATATGACTCCTCTGGTGACAAGTTTGTTAAAATCTTTTGCTTCATAGCCGGGCTCAGTGGCTCAGTCTGTAATCCCATGCCTTGGGAGGCTGAGGTGAGTGGATTGCCTGAGCCCGTGGGTTCGAGACCCCCCCGGGCAACTTCGCGAGACTTCATCTCCACAATAAATAAAAAATGAGCCAGGTGTGGTAACGCACGCCTGTAGTTCCAGTTACTCGGAAGGCTGAGTTGGAAGGATCGCCGGAGCCCAGCAGGTGGAGGCTGCGGTGGCCGGGAGCGGCCACTGCACTCCAGTCTGGGTGACAGAGTGAGACTCCAACTCGAAAAAAAAAAAAAATCTTTTGCTTCATTAAAAAAATTTTTTTGTTGTTATTGAGCTTTGAGAGTACTTTATATATTCTGGATCCAATTCTTTGTCAGAGTTGTGATTTGTAAACATTTTCTCCCAGTTTATAGCTTATCTTTTCATTCTCATAAGAATGACACAGACAGAACAAACATTTAACTCTGATGAAGTCTAATTGATCACATTTTTCTTCTATGTACTATGCTTTTGGTGTCAGATCTAAAAACCCAAGGTCACAAGGTTTTTTTTATTCCTTATATAAATGTACAGTTTTATATTTACGTGTAGATCTATAATTAGAGTTAATTTTCCTGTAAAATGTGTAATAATTTTTATATAAGAATTTTGTATAGGATGCCAGATTTAGGTCAAGTTCATTTTTTACATTTGAATGTCCAAATGTTTCAATGCCACTTGATGGAAAGACATTCCTTAATCCACTGAATTGTCTTTGCACCAGTGGCAAAAATCAGTTAGCTGGACTTGCGTGGGTCTGTTTCTAGGCTGTTCCACACATCCATGGGTCTATTTGCCAATATCACTTTGTCCTGATTACTGCAGTATTATAGTAAGTTTTAAAATTACTAGTAGTAAGAATCTTCCAAATGAATTCCTTTTCAAAATTATTTGAGCTATTCTAGCTATTCTTTGCCTTCCCATATAAATCTTAAAATCAGTTTGTTTATATTTATAAAAAATAATGTTATGACTTTGATAGAAACTGGACATCTTTACTATATTAACTCTTCTGATCAATGATCACAGATGGCTTTCCATTTACCTGGCTCTTCACTAATTTCTTTCATAAGCATTTTGTCATGCTCAGCATTCAAATCCTGCACGTCTTGTTAGATTTATACCTCAGTATTTCATATTTGGGATGGAGATAGCATAAACGATATGATTTTTAAAATTTCAGTTTCCAGTTGTCCATTGTTGGTACATAGAAATATGATGGATTTGTGTGTGTGTGTGTGGTCCTTGTATCCTGTGGCCTTTCTCAACTCTTTTATTGATTCTATGAGTTTTTTTGGTAGAGCCCTGGGGACTTTCTATGCAGATAATTGTCATCTGTGAGTAGAAATTGTTTTATTTCTTCCTTCCAATCTAGATACTTTTAATTTCTTTTTCTTGTCCCATTGTTCTGACAACCAGAAGGATATTGAATAAGACTGGGGAGGGTTGAAAAATCTTAACTTGTTCTTAATCTTAATGGGGAGATTTTAGATTTTCACCATGAAGTATCTTGTAAGCTCAAGTTTCTGTGGATTTTTTTTTTCCAGAAAGTTCCCTTCTTTTTCTAGTTTACCGAGTTTTTAAAAATCATGAATGGATGCTGAATTTTACCAAATGCTTTTTCTTTATCACTGGATTAGATGATGTGGCTTTTCTTCTCTAGTTTATTAAGATGATGGTTTACATTGACTGATCTATTTTTTTGAATACTGAGCCGGCCCTGCTTTCTTGGGACAAACCCTATACGCTCATATTGTACCCTTGCTGCACTTGAATTTCACTATGCTGTACTTACACGCAAAGCTGACAGGATTTAAGCCTTAAAGAAATTTACATACCTAATTCCATTCTGTCCTTTTTCTGGCTTCTGGTTAAGACCATCTGTTACCTGAGTGAGAAAACAGTAATATAAAAACATTTTCAATACCTTATTCATTAGAATAGATTCAGATAAACCTTTCAGTCTTTTGAGAAGGTGGCACAGACACTTATCCTAAGACCTAAGGGCATGATTACATCAGAAGGGCTCTAGGCTTTGGGAAGCCGAGGTCATAGAAGGATCGTTTGAGGCCAGGAGTTCAAGACCATCCTGGGCAACACAGAAAGAATAAATAAATTTTTAAAATAAATACATTTTAAAAAGAACAGCTTCATTTCTTCAGTCCTAATTCTCCTTAAGACTACCATGAGCCTCTACGATTTTTGACCCTTTCTTGACAATGGTTCCACAGAACACTGCTCTCCAAATAGAACAAGTCATTCAACAGACCCCTAATTAAGCAAATGACTAAGAATCTTAATTCCATATTGCAGTTCTCTAGAAGCTCACTTAAATCCGCCTTCTAGAAAGCTCGAAACCCCCTCATTTAGTTCAACAATACCTTCATAGTTTCTTTGTGTGCTGAATGGTATAACTAGAGCTCTCTATTTCGTCAATAATTATTTTGTATGTGCAGTGTTTTATTGCACTTGCCTAACATACTATATATTTTTTAGAAACTGCTCTAGTTTTCTTACTACTCAGCATAAATTTTATTGATTTTAAAAAAAAGAGGGTGCTCGGTTTCTATGCCCAGGAATCGCTAGGGTCCAAGCCGAGCAGCTGCGGCACCAACCGCTGCACCAGGAAAGCCCTGGCCACTAGCTCCCTAGCCCTCACTCAGTCAGTTTCCATACACTCACGCACACTGGGACTTGCATAGTCCGACTGGCTCGGCTGCTATCTTCCCTGACTCTCCCAGCACAAATTTTAAAAATCAATGCAATTATATATTTAAAACTTTAAATGCACATATGTACTCCGTGTGACTTATATGAAGACACATACACACCTATGTACTCTGTGTGACTTGTATGAACACACATACATGCACGAGCACACACAGACCCACAACGTCTAGACGTTAAAAAAAATTTTTAAATCAATATTAACCCTTGCCATCCAGCCGTCGAACTTTTATTTGAAGTCTGGCTGGCATTCTTGAAGCCTTGTGTTCTTGAAAAAAGAAGCTGAAGATCATCTAACATAACACTAAATATGAGTAAAACAAAGCCACACTCATAAAAAGTCACATCTCCCATATTACAAGGAGTGAAGAGTCCATGGCAGGTGTTTACTTACCACACGGTAGTGATTGGGAGCCCACACGAGAAGGGTATGGCGTTGGCCCTTCTGGAAGTCCTGAGTTCCTACAGCGACCGGTGGTTCAGTGGAAGAGACGTTTATACTCGTCAGTTTGTCTGCGTCAAAAGTCATGAATTCATTTGTCTATAGATGGGGGTGGGGGGAAGGAGTCATAGTTAACATAGTAGTGTCTTGGCATTGTGCAGCTGAATATAAAAATGGTGTGTTATGTGATATTCCGAGTTTCCAAGTTCATGTTCATGCACATTGAAAAATGCCTCTAGGGAGTTGGCATTCACTTGCCTCAGCTTCCCAACCGCTCTTCTAGAGTCTATCATGAAGTGTTTTAGGACAACCACCCCTTTACAACAAGCATTTTATTTTGCTTAACAGAGATAAATGCTTTGGGATTTATTTCTTCCATTAGGGAAAGAACAGCATCAGGGACTTAAAAAAAAAACCCCATCGCTAGTGAAAACCAATACTGGGCTGCCCCAAGCTTTTGGAGTCTGACTTTTTTTTTTGTCTTCAAGTTTACCTAGTTTGGCAAGATCTAAAGTGGTGTTTCTCAACCACGACTGAACAGGAATGAGACCACAATCAAGATCTCTGGGGTTGGGACCCAGGTATCAGAATTTTCAAAGCTCTCCAGGAGATTCTGATGAAGACTCAAGGCTGAGTTCTGCCAATCCAGAACAATGATCATCATGATCAGGGTTTCCCAGACTTGGCACCGTTGGCATTTGGGCCAGAGGATTTTGTTCTATGAAGTGCTGTGTGTCAGCATCCCTGGCTTCTGTGTAAGAGATGATGCCGGTGCACACTCCCAGTTGCAACAACAAAAAATGTCTCCAGAGATTGCCAAGTGTCCCCTGGGGTGAAAATCACCCCAGTTGAAAACCACTAACCTAGATCCTTGTGATCTAAAGTGTGGTTCCATAAACAAGGAGCAGCAACATCACCCGAGAGCTTCTTAAAAATGCAGCATTTCAGGCCGGACACGGTGGCTCACGCTTGTCATCCCAGCAATTTGAGAAGCTGAGGAGGTAGCATTGCTTAAACCCAGGAGTTCAAGATCAGCCTGGGCAACACAGAAAGACCTTGTCTCCACACAAAAAATTTTTTAAAAAATGAGCCAGACATGGTGGTGCATGCCTGGAGTCCCAGCTACTCATGATAGCCAAGCTCAGGAGGTGGAGGCTGCAGTGAGCCGGGATTGTGCCACTGCACTCCAGCCTGGGTGACAGAGTGAGACCCCCGACTCAAAACAAAACAAAACAAAACAAAGCAGCATTTCAGATTTCAGCCCTACTGATTAAGAATCTGCAGCTTAATAACTCCCCATGGAATTTCTATAACATTCAGGTGTGAGGCACACTGGTTTAGAGTAAAGCCCAAGTGAGATCAAGATAGTTAAGACACTGGCTGGGCTCGGTGGCTCAACCTGTAATCCCAGCACTTTGGGAGGCCAAGTCAAGCCCGCGGGTTCGAGACCAGCCTGGGCAACTTGGCGAGACCTCGGCTCTACAATAAATCAAAAATTAGCTGGGCAGCGTGGTAGTGCACGCCTGTAGTTCTGGCTACTTGGAAGGCTGAGGTGAAAGGATTGCCAGAGCCCAGCAGGTTGGAGCTGTGGTGATGGGGAGCGTGCCACTGCGCTTCAGTCCAGGCGACAGAGTGAGACTCCAACTAAAAAAAAAAACCACATGTGGGCTGCTCTTGGGATTATACAAGGACCCAGCAAAACAGCTTCTCCAAATTCTATTCTCAGGTTAGAAGACAAAAAAGAAGGTTGCATTGCCTTCTACTTACTTGAGACATTGGGCCAAGTGTCACCATGTTTCCAGGAAGAGATATCGTCATGTTATTATCCCCTATATTCAAAACTTTAATTTGGACTTCATTTCCTTGGGGGAAGACTGGAAGGGTTTTCTGAGCAAAAGAAAATTGGCAGTGAGGTGTTCAGTACAGCATGGATGATAATCTGAACGCTTGCATGGAGGCACTTTCCCTGGTGTTGGTTGAGACATGCCAGACACCCCCATAAGCTGCCAATCACTACTGGGGCACCCATAGAAAATGACACATACAGAATATTGAAGGAATTAGAAGGGGTTACTCTTGGTCTCATCTAGCACCTCTAGGTCAAAGCGTGCCAGGATGGAAAGCCTGGTAACAGCTAGGGGTCAGAATATCATCTCAGTGAATGTTCCCCCTGTTGTGACACCTGAGATCTGCTGTCCGCAACTCCAGTGTCCTCCCTGGAACTCCAGAAGCCCATTTCTCAGCCCCAGCCATGGTGCTGTAAGATATCTTCTCACCCTTGTCCCTCTTGCCTGCCTACCTTCATGCCTACGATGTTCTGTCTCAGACCCCGGTGTTGCAGAAGCGATTTGTGTTTACCTGAGCCCACAATTCATTTTCCACAAAGCTAGCTATGTTCAAGAGACAGTGAGCACACCCATGTTCACTGCAGCGTTATTCACAACAGCCAAAAGGTGGAAGCAACCCAAACTAAGTGTCCACATAGGAGAGACTAGTATCCTACCTTAAAAAGGAAGGAAATTTTGACACACATTACAGCACACATGAACCTTGAAGACAATACGCTTAGTGAAACAAACCAGTCACGACAAAACAAACACTGCGTGATGCCACTTACACAAGGTACATAGAGTACTCACATTCCTAGAGACAAGAAATAGAATGGGGGTCGCCAGGGGCTGGGGGAATGGTTGGGCTTTTGGGGGGTTACAGAGATTTCGCTTTGCCAGATGTAGGGAGTACTGGAGATTGGTTGCACGACCACATGTACGTACTTAACACTGAACCACACACAAGTGAGTAAGATGGTAAATTCTGTGCTATATCTATTTTTGCCCCAATTAAAAAAATTTTTAAGGTTATAGAAATTAAAAGAGAGAGAAAGGGAGGGATGGAAGAAGAGAGACAGAGAGGGAGAGGGAGAAAAGGGGAAGGAGGGGAGAGAAAGAGAGGCCGGGGGAAGGAAGAGGGAAGGAGAGAGGGGAGCGGGGTGGGGAGAGAGACAGAGAGAAAGATATGAAAGAGAGACAGAGAGACCAAGGGAGAGAGAGAGAGACAGACAAAGATAGATGGAGAGAGAGAGAGAGAGAGACAGAGAGAGAGAGAGAGAGAGAGAGAGAGAGAAGAAGAGACAGAGAGAGAGGGAGAGACAGAGAGAACGAGACAAAAAGAGAGACAGAGACAGAGACAGAGGGAGAGGGAGAGACTCTCCTACTTTTTACGAACCACACAGCCCTGTTTCTAGGACCTGATCTCACTCACAGCTTAAGGAGCCTAATCTGGTCCACTGTGGAGCCACTAGAAGTGTGGACTAGCTTGAGAACTAATCATTACTGGAAAGTTTACCAGAATCTAAAACGCATTTTCATATCAAAAAGACTATTTACACATGTCTAAAATGAGGCTTGTGAATGACTGACGTCTTTTGACCAGGTCTCCTAGGAGCTCACACTTCACACCCTTCTCTCCCATTATGAAAAGTGTGTTGTGAGTGCAAGCTGTTTAGGTCATTTCTTCCCTGAACGAAGCCTATCCACTTGACCTCCTTCCCAGATGCGCCCTTGCAGGGATGAGGAGGGGTTCTCCCTGGGCCTCATGCCGCCCACAGCACCAGGGCTCAGTGTAGAGGAAGGACCCTGACCTCCCTCATCCTCTCCAGCCCAGGGAAAGCGTTCCGAACCATCCACTAAACCCATCAGGAAAGGACCCTGGAGAATCAGAGGGCAACTCACATCAATTTCCACCTGCACGATGGCAGCCACCACAAAGGCCATGGAAGCCAGGAACATTCCAACTGTCATCTTCTTCAGGGAGCTGGTAGACCAAGAAGAGAGTGACTCTCAACCAGCCTCCTACAGACGAGGTCTGCCCCTCACCTGCACCTAGACAAAACCAACTTCCCTACAAAAACACATGGGCTTCGAAGGGTCTCTCCTTCCATGATTCATGGCCGAGACTAAGGAAGATAAACGGAATGCAGCTTCTCATTTGCATATTTAGATTTAATTTCTAGACATTATCGTTCAGGTTGTACTCCCAATTATAATGAACATTCTTATTATCTACGTACATAAAAGAACCTTAATTAGAGGATTTTTCAGGCTGCTATTAACAACAATTTTACTAATTGTTGTTAATTATTCTATTCTATTCTATTCATTTTATTTCATGAGTTGGAGTCTTACTGTTGCCCAGGCTGGAGTGCAATGGCACCATCACAGCTCACTGCAGCATCGACCTCCTGGGCTCAGGTGATCCTTCCTCTTCAGCTTCCCGAATAACCTGTGCTACTATGCCCGGCTAATTTTTTTGCGGGGGGTAAGGATGGCGTCTCACAATGTTGCTCAGGCTGGTCTCAAACTCCTGGGCTCAAGTGATCCTCTTGCCTTGGTCTCCCAAAGTGCTAGGATTGCAGGCATGAGCCACCACGCCCAGCCAGCACTTTTATTTAAAGGACATTTTCAGAAACATCAGCACACAAACATCTGTTTCATTCATTCCTCAAGACCCCATCATCTTGGGGCAGTGGCAGACAGGGTGCAGTCCACTTGCAAAACCCTCAGACCAATGGTGCCTCCACCAACCCAAACCCACTAGTGACCTACGTGAAATTGAAGCCACATTTTGCAATCAGAGGATACACCAGACCATCAAAGATGGGGACCATGATGACGATCAGGATGGCATTGATGGTCTGCAGATGAAAGGACAGGTAAAATGTTAGGGTTGTCTCAAAGATGACTTTGACCTCCATATTGAATCTCAATACTTTCTCCTACCTGCATCTGATCTGGCTGAATTTCGATAGCTCCCTACGAAGAGAGAAAAACATTTTCATGGAAACGTGTTACGAAAGGGAGGGAGAAAGGAGACAAAGGGACTTAAACAAAGGAGTAGCAACCAGGGAGGGTAAAATATCCTGCTTGCCCAAACTTACTATTTTCCCACTCATGGTTGTTGCTTGCAGCGTCCACCGGGAGCCCTTAAAAATGAATAAAGTTTTACTGCATCATTTGAGAATGTGGGTTTTTAAAATTTTACTAGTCAACGGTGAGTCTTTTCCATGTCAGAAATAAGTCTGAAATGTTACGGGATTTAAAATTGTTTTAAACATCAAGTTAGTCTCCTGGCTCTATGATACAACTGGGTTAAAACAGGTTGTGCCTCTCCTGTATAAGTGGACACAAAATTAGTGTTCCGGCCCCTCTGAGCTGGAGAAATACACTTCTGATACTTGTTGGAAAGCACGGCAGCGGCGGCCAGGTGAAAGCAGCCATGTAAGGATGTCCAATATTTACTGACATCAGGGGCTCAAGAACATCATGATTGTTAAGAGTCATTTTTAGTTGGGCGTGGTGGCTGATGCCTGTCATCCCAGCACTTTGGGAGGCAGAGGCAAGAGGACTGCCCGAGTCCAGAGGTTTGAGACCAGCCTGGGCAATGTGGCAAGACCTTGTCTCTACAATAAATCCAAAAATTAGAGGGCGTGGTGGCGCAGCCTGGGTACCTGAGACCTTGTCTCTACAATAAATCAACAAGTTAGCTGGGCGTGGTAGTGCATGCTTATATTTCCAGCTATTTGGAAGGTTGAGGCAGAAGGATCACCTGAGCCCAGCAGGTTGAGGCTGCGGTGGCCATGAGCGTGCCACTGCACTCCAACCTGGACAACAGAGTGAGACTCCGATTCAAAAAAAAGGGGCCATTTTTTTAAGATTGGCCTAAACTAGATCACCAACAGGAGAGAGATGGATTTAAACCTATTTTATAGTAAAAGATGACCCAGGACTGTATAACTACATATGATAATTTCTATGAAAGACTAAACCTCTAATGGTTTCAATATAAATCTATCAACTCCACTAGGAGGATATCAAAGAACGTCAGGAAACTACCACTGTTTGAGTTTTGTTTTGTTTTGTTTTTAATCAGAATCTCACTTTGTTGCCCAGGCTGAAGTGCAGTGGCATGACCACGGCTCGCCGAAGACTTGACCTCCTGGCTCCAGCAATCCCGCCTCAACCTCTCGAGTAGCTGGGACTACAAGTGTGCACCACCACATCTGGCTTATTTTTTAATGTTTTATTTATTAATTTTTTTAGAGACAGGTCTCACTGTGCTGCCTAGCCTGGTCCCAAATTCCCAGGTTCAAGTAGTCCTCTGGCGTTGACCTCCCTGAGCACTAGGATTACAGGTGTGAGCCACCATGCCCAGCATGTTTGGCCTGTTAATATATGCCTGATCCTGCATATTTTGTGCATGTTCTTTAACTGGATCCTCACAGCCTTGAGGTGGGTTAAATGACACTTTCAGAGGGGTAGTTACTACCTAAGTCCCACAGCTACCAGGTGAGGAGTGTATTTCTAGTGCAAGTCTCATTCCAGTAACCAGCTCTCATCCATCATGTATCACTGCCTCCCAGGTCTGTATGGTGCTAGTCTAAATCTCATACTTACAAATAAGGAGATAATGTGAACGCTCAAATTTCTTCCAAGCAACAGAATAATACTAATACTTATGATACTAATACTGCCTGCACAATAAAACCACATGCTCATATTTAAAAAAAAATTTTACTAAAAGAAACAATAGCTGATTGCTTTAGCTACTGACCACCGTGTATTGACCCATCAAACACTATTGTGACACATCCCTGGACCTGTGTCTCACAGCTGTGGTAGAAAGAACACAGCAAGTTAACCATCTGGTTCTAGGTTCCTGCTTAAAGAGGGGTGATGTTGGTGGAGTCATTTTCCATGCCTAAACACTGCTTCTGGCCCAAGCATTCTATTTTTAGAGTGGAAGACGTCAAGCCCCTCTTGTTTAAATATCCTCTGGATCCCATAAAAGGCAAGACACGCTTTTACCATGCCACATCTGTAGGAAAACAAACTCTTTATTCTCAGTTTTGATTGCAAGAGTCCCGGATGCATTGATGAGGGCTTTGCCAAGGCTACTTTACTTGACCACATCTGATTTTTTTCATTGTTTTGCAGCAGAAATGAGGATAGAACTATCTAGAATTGTTTTGTTGTTGCCGTTTTGTTTTTACAAATAAACTCAGTGGGATCTAACCATGAAATAAGTGAAATATAAAAAAGAAGCTAGAAGAGAACTTCTTAGACGTGAAATCCTAAACACGTCTTGGTACCTGGCAGGCTCCAACGCATGTTTGCTAAGCAGAGACGAGGAACAAAGCAGAATTTCACGTTACCTGCTGATCAAACAAGGCCCAGAACATGGGGAGCGGGATGTACAGGAACAGTACTCTCGTAACCATCTTGATCTGAGAGATAAGCCGCTCCTGGAGTGGAGGAAGGACAAATCAGCCATCGCCTGTATCAACCAGGTGCTCAGGTGCTGCTGAGTTTCAGTGAGGGAGAGATTTGCGTCTAGAGACAAGCTGCAAGGTGACTCGTCACTCCAAAGGACACTAACACAGGCTTAGAAAACAAAATTTCTGGATGGGCTTGGTGGCAATCCCAGCACTTTGGAAGGTAGAGGCGAGTGGATCGCCTGAGCCCGCGGGTTCGAGACCAGCCTGGGCAACTTGGCGAGCCCTCGTCTCCACAATAAATCAAAAATTAGCCAGGCATGGTAGGGCACGCCTGTAGTTCTGGCTATTTGGAAGGCTGAGGCGGAAGGATCGCCGGAGCCCAGTGGGTCGATGCTGGGGTGGTCGTGCGCATGCCACTGCACTCCAGCCTGGGTGACACAGTGAGACTCCGACTCAAAAAAAAAAAGAAAACTGAAAATTTCTAAGCTGCTTAAAACATGAGCAAAAATGTCTATTTAGGAGGTAAATTACTTGAACTTACTAGATATACATTCCCACCATGCCGCCACCACCACTCACCTTCTCTGTATTCAAACCAAAATTATGTGGTCACAATTACACGACTAATAGCAGTGTACATCAAATGGCAAACTATGAAAAGGTAATATTGTCTACAGATAAATTATATCCGTTATTTATCAAGTTCTCAATTAAAAGAGGCATTCATTGATCTATATAGTCTCATTTAACATGCTAAGGAAGGCTAGGAAGACACAATTGATAATTTGGTATGTGTGGCCTTCATCATTGGAACTGAGAGTTTGAATTTTCATTTCCTCGATTATTGTAGCCACAACAGTTACTTACATCATATTTTTCTCTAGCCCAGTCCAACCAGTGCTCTCTCTTGGGAAATGTGTGACTCCGATGCCTAAATCTGTTTTTGGTGGCAAACTGAAGGAAGGAAGAAAAATTAGGTTTCAAAATGGGACCAATGACTTTCTTGGGAAACACATTTCAGTTAAACCCTTTAAATGGAAAAAGATGTTTGTGAGAAAAGCAAAATATAAAATTGTATATACTAGGATATGAGCACGATTAAAGGCATAAGTGATGCATTTATTTCTAGTCTCTTTCTAACCAAGGTCATTTGGGTTGGGGTAAACACAGTCACATGTCTCTACTGTTCCCTCCAGATCCTCTGGAAAACAGTAAAGACACACCTGTAACTGAAGTTTTCTAGCAGCCATATTAACAAGTAAAAGAAAAGCAGGCAAAATTCATTTTAAATCCATTTTATTTAACCAAATAAACCCTAACTATGTTTATATATAATCAACATTTTACAAATTAATGAGAATTTCTACATTCGTTGTTCATACTAAGCCTTCAAAATCAGGGAGTATTTTACACTTATGGTATATCTTAATTTGGATGCCAAATTTTTATCAGAAAGTGTGATCTGTATTTAGATTTCATGAAGTTTATGCTTGAAAAACCAGATTTGCATACAAAGTTGTTCCAGACATGCTTAAAAGCTTTCCAATAACCGAACTGAGTATTGGTTTTTAAATTTGAGAGTGAGCACATGATACATTTATTTAACCCACAAAAGATATAGGGAAACACATTTTGAAATAGGGTAATACGGGTCAGAAAAATATGTAGATCCATCCTTCATGATGTTAGGGGCTACTAAGATTCCTTGTTGGAGTTGTTTAGGAGAGAACTTTGGGAAGAGCAAGGTGCATTTGCAATGACAGGGCAACAAGATAAGGCGATGGTGGTGGCGGTTGGGGACATGCATGTGTTTGAAAGGCAATAATTCAAAGCCGCGGGCTGATTTTAGAATAATAGGCAATACAGTTCTTCTGATTCTAAGGAGCTTGAAGTTTTTCTTTAGGGGTTTGAACTATGCTGTCCATCACTTATTAAGGAAGGACTTGAGAACCAAATACTGCATGCTCTTACTCATAAGTGGACCCTGACCACTGATCACATGGGTGGGATCAGCAGACACTGAACTCTGCTGGGGGAGGAAGGGGGGGGGGCGCATGGCATCACCCTGGGTACCTGGTCCAGTATCGGAGCAGAGAGGGCCAGCTAGAAGCTCAAACTCCACCTGCACGCAGCCTACTTATGTAGTACCCCACAATGCTAAAATAAAATAAATTTTAAAAAAAGAAGAACTTGAATAGATCATTGATAAGGTCTCCTCTTTGCTTGGAAAGAATGTTTTGGTGGAAATTGATCTAATATCAGAATAAAAAGGAATGATTGCACCTGAAGGAAATTTTCTTTTTGACAAAGAGAGGGCACATTGATTTCACAAGTTGAAATACAATACGATACAATAACCTAGTTGTACAATGCAAGTGAAATACAATACAATAATCTAATGCAATAAGGCTGGGTAAAGAGACAGTAAGTGACCGAAAATTATCTTAAGGCTGCCTTTTCATCCAAAAGATTATCCGCACGGGTATGTTTTCATTAAAACGTGCCACGTTTTCCCCTGGATATACAATACATACAGTATGTTCACTAAAAAAATGGAGCGTGTATGAGGGAAAAAATAATCAAAATTATTTGATTTCATTATCTAAGATGTCTACTCTCAACATCTATTTCCTGCCTATAAATGTACCGATATGTCCACATTCCATGTTGATGCCTATGGGAGAAACCATCTTCTGAACACCTTATCACCAAATATTCTTTGATGCCAGAGATAGACTGTAAGTTAAGCACCATCTTCCTATTTTCAGCAACTTGGTGGACTTACATTTTTGCCATTATAAATATTACAATGACAATCTTTGTACACAGTTCTGTGTTCATTTTTTAAAATGATGCTCTAACCCTTCATTCTCAAAAGCAGCACGAATGACTCCGAGCATCTAAACACTTGAGGCTCTTGCTAACAGAGCCAGGACAGGTCTCCCATGCTCCGGTCACTGCTCCCAGACCCTAGGCACTGTCTGCCAACCTGACAGGCCAAGAGTCACTTTGATTTTCTTTCCTTGGACCACTGATCTTATTTTAAAAGCCCAAGAGTCATTTCTGTTCCTCTCTTGTTGAGTTCTGTTTGTGTCCTTTTTCTTTTGGTGAGTTTTCTAAGAAGTTTCAATTTGTCAAAATAGTTCAGAGCAGCTGGGTGTGGTGCCTCACACCTGCAATCCCAACACATTGGGAAGCTGAGGAAGGAGGATTGCTTGAGCCCAGGAGTTTGAAACCAGCCTAGGCAACATAGCAAGATCTTGTCTCTACAAAAAATTAAAAAACTCAGCCAGGCTTGGAGGTGTGTACTTGTAGTCCCAGCTACTCAGGAGGCTGAGGTGGAAGGATTGCCTGAGCCCAGGAGGTCTGAGGCTGCAGTGAGCTCTGATTGTGTCACTGCATTCCAACCTGAATGACCGGAGTCTCACTAGAGTGAGACTCCAACTCAATATACATATATATATTTTATATATACATACACTTAGTTAAGAACACTAAAAATATGCTTGAAGGAAAGTCAAAGTTTAATTGAATTTTCATCTAAAGGAGGCAGAAATTTCTGGGGTAATTAAATGACATCGAGAAAGGGCTACAGGAATACTTACACCCATGCACTTGACCACTTTAGCCATGATGTTGCCCTGTGGCTGGAACTTCTTGTACATTCCACTGCCAATGACAAATACAACTGGATAGGGAAAAAGAAGGTATGTTAACAAGGTGTGTGCCAGGTCTACTTGTGGCCTGGAGGAGTGAGCTTTTGTTTGTGTTATATGAGGGGGACCCAAAAAACCCCAGAAGTTATTTATTAAAAATTGTGTATTTATTCTTACATGTTTAAACTTCAGTCCCTTCCAAGCACTCTCCGTTTTGTGCAATACATCTATCCAGACACTTTTCCCGCGGCTCAGGACAGTTTTTGAACTCGTCAATTTTGATGCCTTTTAGTGCTTCTGCTGTTTTTTGTTTCACCTCTGCCACATCGCCAAAATGTTTCCCACTGAGGATTTTTTGTATCCAGGGAAACAAAAAACAGTTGCTGGGGGCGAATGCGTGTGAGTAGGGAGGATGGGGCTTGGGGATTGTGCCATTTTTGGTCAAAAACTTCTGAACATTCAGCATGGTATGGGCAGGTGTGCTTTTGAATCACCCCTCATGAAATGCGCAAATGTGTTGAAAGAATCTCCAAAAAAAATCACTAAAGCCGAACGCAGTCACCCACAACAAGCTAGGCGGTATACTGATGCTGATGGGATCCTGGAACACTTACCTAGCAGAGGAAGCCTCTACTACAAGAGATCTGCCCTCCAAAAGTTAATTCCGGGTTTTTTTGGGTCCTCCCTCGTACACTTGTCTTGGAAGTAGCTGGATTACTTATGGAATGGGAATTCCTACCTATCTCACAGTTTAGAAAGCGCTTTTGATTCTAACAATCACAACAGCCTTGGAGTAACATTATGTCTGTGTTCTAATATACAAACCTTGAGGCCTAATGTGATCTACTTCCCAGAACTTGAGGCAGCTCAAGTTCACACTCAGGGCAGCTATTTAAGCACAAGCTCTAGCTCTTCTTACGGGGAGACAAAAAGATTAAATGGTCCCACACAACAGATTCATGTATTATATTCTACAAAGATAATGCATGCAATCGTAATTTTCTGGCTGCAATGGCAAGATTAATAATCTCTCCTTCTTTTTAATATTTAGGAAAAAAAGGAATTAATCTGCTGAAACTTTTCCTTACTCATACATGACATCAACTTTTTCTGTGGTCCAGATACAAAGCACAATGACAATTAATTGCCTTGGCAGCTACAGTTGTACAAAAGCTAGACGCATCTTTTCAATGAGGTCATTTCTTCAGGCCTTCTCTTAGCAAAAGGCATATTGTGAAAACAACTCAGAAAAAAGCATTTGTGCAGGAGACTCTGATAACAAAGGTCTTATGCTAGGATTTCAGAACACCCCATTTCACAATTCAGTCATTTTAAAATGCTGAATGAATAGACAGGATTCCACTTGCTTTCCTCGAGGAGAAGGGCCTGAGATTTTGAGAGGTGCTAACTCTCAAGCGTATCTCCGAGTATGTGCTTGTGCCACACACACCCTTTATAGCTGAGGGAAGAGACATTTATTTACTTACTTGTGTTCTTTTTTTTTTTGAGTTGGAGTCTCATTCCGTCACCCAGGCTGGAGTGGAGTGGTACACTCACAACCACCCTAGCATCAACCCGCTGGACTCCAACGATCCTTCCACCTCAGCCTCCCAAGTAGCTGGAACTACAGGCGCGTTTACTTGTGTTCTTGCCCAATGCCAACCTTTTCCAGAGCAGGCATGGATGGTAAAGGTGTCCAATAAGGTGAGTCTACATTTTCTTTTGCCCACTAATATTTTAATTTTTAAGCTTCTGATTAATTGAAGTCAAATTCAAGCACAGGATTTGGCCTGTTCTCAATTCCTCCGCAAAAAAGTATTATCTTTGATATAAGAATGGCTTGTAGCCGGGCTCGGTGGTTCAGCCTGTAATCCCCGCGCCTTTGGAAGGCTGAGGTGAGTGGATTGCCTGAACCCGCGGGTTCGAGACCCGCCTGGGCAACTTGGCGAGACCTCATCTCTACAATAAATCAAAAATCAGCCGGGCATGGTAGTGCGCGCCAGTAGTTCCAGCTACTCGGAAGTCTGAGGCGGAAGGATCGCTGGAGCCCAGCAGGTCGTGGCTGCAGCGGCTGGGAGCAGCCACTGCACTCCAGTCTGGGCGACAGAGTGAGACTCCAACTAAAAAAAAA